TTTGGGGTGACCCCACAAGGGCCCTTTGGGGGGGGGGGGTGTATGTGTAACACCCACAGACCCCAGTCGTCTGCAAGTGGACTCCAACCTGGGACTAGAATCCAGGACATGAGCTTCAAGCCAGCAGGCTCTCAGGCTATGTCTACGCGGCACTGCAAATTGCGTAGCTTATTTCAAAACAGGCTATTTTGAAATTTGGGGCTGTCTACACTGCACCACATTTCGAAATAAAGTGCTATTCCCAGACATCCCTTAACCCGCGGGATGCCGAAATAGGTGCCCCTTGTTGGCTGTCTAGACTGCAGGTTTCTTTCGAAAGAGGCTCTTTCGAAAGATGCTTTCGAAAGAGCCTCTTTCGAAAGAAACCTGCAGTCTAGACAGCCAACAAGGGGCACCTATTTCGGCATCCCGCGGGTTAAGGGATGTCTGGGAATAGCACTTTATTTCGAAATGTGGTGCAGTGTAGACAGCCCCAAATTTCAAAATAGCCTGTTTTGAAATAAGCTACGCAATTTGCAGTGCCGCGTAGACATAGCCTGAGAGCCTGCTGGCTTGAAGCTCATGTCCTGGATTCTAGTCCCAGGTTGGAGTCCACTTGCAGACGACTGGGGGCTGGGTCACACACACCCCCCCCCCCCCCAAGGGTGCTTGCTGGTGAACTACCAAAAAAGAGGTGCGATATATGAATCCTCACACTTGGGGGGGGGGGCATCAATAGGTGTGTGGGAGTCTTTTGGCTGGAAGAGGCAGGGGACTCAACTTGCTGTTGCAGTAAGGAATGAAAGGGACGTCATCCCAGTTCTATATAGAGCAGTGGTCCCCAACCTTTCGTGGCTGCCGGGCGCCCAGGGGCGGGGCCACTCACGTGCCGGGTGTCCGGGGGCGGGGCCATTTACGCGCCACGTTTCCGGGGGTGGGGCCACACATTGCATGTGCTGCATGCCCAGGGCAGGGGCCGCCCATGAGTCACATGCCCAGGGCTGGCACCACGCATGTGCCTCACACTGGGGGCGGGGCCAGCCCAGATGTTTCGGCGGGTGCACATAAATGCCCCGTCGGGCACCATGGTGCCCGCAGGCACTGCGTTGGGGACCACTGATATAGAGCATGTTGTTTTCTGTTGTTTATAGAGCAGGGGAAGGAAGGGAATAATGACTTACTTTCCTGTTCCTTAACAACCATGCTTGGAAGCAGAGGTCTGCTCAACAAGTTTTTGGTGGCCCCTGAGTGCGGTGGTAAGGCAGCAGTGGTATGGGTGATAGTGGGTGACTTAGGGGCCTCAGTCCAAAGCCATACAGCCACAGGATGGAACCTGCTGAATTTTGTTACCTTCCCCTCCCCCCCCACACACACTTCTCTTAAATGCCAGGGATTGCAGAGATAGTGTAGAATATAAATCAGCAGAGTCCTAGCACTGGCTGGACTTACTAAGGAGTCCAACTGATCTGTGACCAAGAGGGCGTATTCTGAAATATTTTTGTATTAATCCTAGTCAGGCCTCAGTTTCCCTCTGTACAGTGCATTTCTATGATGTTGATGTAAAAGCGTTAACATGGTTCTTGAGACAGTTCAGGAGATATGTGTGTGAATTAACAGGATCACTGAAGAACTGGCTCAAACCAATAGAGGGTCCAAAAAGGCAAAAACATCCCAGTGACTGAACAATCAACAGCAAGAAACCCCAGCAAGGTGGGCTGTGGGAACAAGATATGTGGAAGAAGTGTAGCCCTTTTGAAGGGACTCTGGAGCCTGGACCTGTGGGAAAAGAAAGAAAGGAGGAACAGGGAGGGAGAACCAGAGATGAAATCCATCACAGCATGGCTGGCTCCTAATGATACTAGTTTGACCAGGCAAACTGTGGTTTAACTTCTGCCCCTCTGTGTTAACCTAGAGACTCGGATTCAGATACCAGGTGACTAGTAAAAGGTTACCTTGTTTTGTAAAGGATGCCCATGTTACTGCAAAAACTCAGAGGGGCACAGAAGGATTTGCTGCAGGGAGCTATGGAGAGAGAAAGGGGGAAGACCCAGTCTTAGAGATCCTTAGGGGCAGGCCTCTTACCTCTGTGGGTGCTGGCACCTGGAAGGGATCACTCCCAAGAGACTGGTGACAGGCTGGGGCATATACTGGATCTTGTAATGGGATCTGTCACATTCTCAGAGGCTCAGGATGATATAAAGCATATGTGGAAACCATTCTGAGTAGCCAGTCAGTCTCACCATTGAGATTAGGGATGTAAAAGTTAACCGGTAAGATGATGCTTATTGGGTTCTGTTACGGGTTAAACTCTGCTCCCTCCCAGTGAGCCAGCTTTGTTCCCATGAGCCAGCTGCCCTGCTC